AGCTGGGTCTAGACTGGGTCTAGAGAGTATTTTAAATTCAGGGAATTTAAAATAGAAAGTAGCTCGTCCACAGAAGGACTGGTAGCTCCCCTTACGATAAGGGTTCAGATCGCGAAAACAGGTGTGAAATGTGTGTGTTTAGTTAGTTTGTTTGTTTGCTTGTTTTAATCAATTTTAAATCATACTTTTTATTTGTTTTTGTTTCTAATGTCTCTGTAAAGCACTTTGAATCACCTTGTTGTTGAATTGTGCTATACAAATAAATTTGCCTTGCCTTGCCTTGCCTTACTGGATAAAACAAAGTGGAGTCTGTGATCATTTAATCCCTCTTTTTTTTCTTATCTTTCAGGTAACCACAACTTGTTTGCTGAAGTCATCAAAATGGGGAACCAGGTCCCAAAAGAAAGTAACATGGGCAATAACCTTAGATGCTGCAAATGTTATCGAGTCTTGCCTCCATGCAAATCATTCAATGACCTTTACAAAACTGAGATTCATGGTCGAGTCATATATGTGTTCAATAGAGGTGAATACTACAGACCAGTTGGTCACGATGACGCATATGAGTGTGAATATTGCTTTAATAAGCCAATCAGAGATCAAGAGCAAATGAGGAGACGAGAGGAGGAGAGGAGACGAGAGGAGGAGAGGAGAAGAGAGGAGGAGAGGAGAAGAGAGGAGAAGAGGAAAGGAGAAGAGGAGAGACAGAGGAGAGAGGAAGAGAGGAGAAGAGAAGAGGAGAGGAAGAAAGAGAATCAAAGACTACAAGAATCTCACCAACAAGCCAAAGAGCAGCTTGAGAAGCAAATGAGCAGCCACATTTCTCATGAATATGAATCCAAGCAAGATGTTCTAATATGGCATCTGGATGACTTTAAAGGTAACGATGAATCAGGTAGTGGCAGTGATGAGCTTCTTGAAATTCTTACTACAAAATGCAGTGGTGAGGTTTCAAGTCTCAGTCTCACTCAGCTGACAGCTGATCAGCTCAGTGAGATCCTTTCAGTCCTGGACAAACTTCTGTTTGATGAGTGGATTAATGCTCCTCCATCCATCAGCACTCTGCAGCACACTCAGGTGTTCATCACAGAGCTCTGTGCTCTGTCTCTGGAGATATCTGAAGAAGTTTCCTTACACACCATCTCCAATCATATGCAGTCCCTAGTGGAATCCATCAGCCAATCAGCATGCACTGTTTTTGAGAATTTCCTATTGACTCAAGCCCTGTATCTGAACCTGATGCACTTTTTTAGTGACCATCAAAGATTTAATAATGATACAGTTCTAATAGCCAAACAATGGGCAGAATATGAGATTTCCACTGAGAACCTCTTTGTAATTGAATTCCTGAGCACCCTCACATCATCACTGCAGAGTACAGTCAGCAGAGCCTCTGTGTTCACTTTAAAGATGGAAATCCAGTGTTTAAAGCTTCTCTTATCCACACTCACAGATCTAAATGGAAAAGAAGCCCACTCAGAATCCACTGAAATGCTCCTTAAACTTGTGCAAAGAAACCAATGGACTCCAATGGAGGCAGTCACTCTGCTTAAAGCACTGTCACAGAAATATGCAGATGATGCTTCCATAACTGAAATCCTTACCTTGGTACAAGTGTATGACATACCACCAGACTGGATAGATGACTGTGGGCACTCTCTAATCCAGCTCCTTGAATATGCTGCTCCTGAGAGATTTTGTCAGGATTTCCAAAAGACTCTAAGAGGAAACGATGAGAGCATTGTAACTACAGTTTTAGCAGAAGTAAAGATGTTGTGGAATTTGGATGACTCTGTCATTGATATGATAAAAAACATTAACACTGGTGTCCTGAAATATACAGAAAATGTACCAAAAGAAGAACCTTTTAATAAAGATTCATTTAAATGTGAATCTTTGAATGCAGACAACATACAGAAGTGTCTGTGTCAGCTCTGCAAAGCAGTGTTTCATATAAAAGGCTGGTGGCCCACAGTGAGGTAGGTGGTGCGGTGGTGTGGACTGGTGCTGACTCAGAAAAGTCGAGTGGTACAACTGGTTGGTGTGGAAGAAGACCCATGTGTTACAGCCATGTTTGCAGCCATGCAAGTCTGCATGGGAAACAAATTGGACATTGTGCTGAGCTCTGATGTTCACTCAGAGGAGCAAACAAAGGAGTGGTCTGACTTCTACAAGCACCTTAACATTTCACTTAACACAAACATGAAGAAGACTCATCCATCATTCCAGGATGTCTATGAAGCAGACATTGTTTATGGTACAATTGATGATTTTGTGTCTGATTACATTCAGCGTGGCATAGAGGCAATGGAAACAGGGAACCCTCAGATGAGTCGTGGATTCATCATTGAAAAACAAAGTCTCAGTGCTCTGCATGCTCTGGAACTTTCAAGACTCAAAGACAATGACTCCCTGGTGTTTGCTGCAGAGGTCCTGCAGAACCTCATGAGTACATTTCACAGTGAAGATGTGGGACTGATACACATGTTCATTAAGGCCCTTTTTCAGGTGCTCCACAGCAATCTAAACAAGGACACGATCACTGAAAGTAAAATCATAAAAATCTCAAAGAAAATCGCTGGAAAGGAATTGCTTTCTAATGAGGTCTTCATTTTGACGTTTCTTGAGACTGTCCTACGAGTCTTTACTGAAGAAATAAAAGATATTAAAAACATGACATTTCCTGCAGGCACATCATGTTTGGAGATTTTATTTGCCTGTGTGGAACAATTTCAAGACTCAAAAAAAGACACTAAAGGAGTTTTTGAGATGGTTTCAAATCTTGGAGAACAAAGGCTTTGGTCACAAGTAGAGGCCTTAAAGTTTCTTGAAGCATTAACTGTCCACCATCATGATAAAGGCTCTACTTCCATCATGAAGATTTTACATTTGGTGGAAACATATCGGGTTTCTTCCAAGTGGAAAGATAAAAACAACAAATCTCTCTTTGAGCTCATAGATTCATGCACAACTAAGAATCTGATCCAGCATCTGGAAAAGAGCCTTAAAGATGAGAAAACTGAAAGCATTGACAACCTTTTTTATGAAATACAGCAGATGAAAGAAATTGATGGACAAACACTGAGTAAATCATACAACATAGTAACTCATGTAACAAACTTAATCAAAACTGGTGAAATTAAAAATCACACAGATATACGGCGAGCTAGGACTCTGAGTCACAGCATGGAGACTGAGGACCTTCAGGAGATCCTTGCAGTCTTATGCAATGCTGTACACCTCCACAAAGATGAAAGGAAGTGGTTTCCACGAACCACTCAGATGATAAGCTGGTGCCTGTTGGCCTTGTCTGACACTGGGAAGCTCCTGGAGATGGGAACTGGAGAAGGGAAGTCTTGTGTCATAGCGATGTTTGCAGTGCTGCGTGTGCTTAGAGGTGAAAAGGTGGATGTGGTGTCCAGCTCCTCTGTGTTATGTCAAAGAGATGCTGAAGAATGGTCCAAATTTTACAAATACTTTGGCATTACAGTCGACACAAACACAAATAAAAATGAGGATAAAGATCGGAAAGAATGCTATCAGAAGGACGTGGTCTATGGAACCATTGAAGCCTTTGCTGCTGATCACCTTCGCCAAATATTTGAGATGAAGGATGTGAGGGCTGATCGTAACTTTCAGTGCATCATTATCGATGAAGTGGACTCACTGCTGCTGGATCAGGGAGTGCAGCTGACATACCTGTCCAGCCCCATGGTGTCCATGCAGCACCTGAACATTATTCTCACCATGATCTGGAGCCACGTCAGTCAGTATGGCTTCCTATCTACAGGACATCAGACATTTGTAAGAGGTCCTCCTGCTTCATTCTTCAAGGCTATCTATGACTCAATGAACACAGAAGACACTGAAATTAGTGATCCAATGGCTATTTTAACTATTGCTGAAGAATCCAACATTGTGCCAAAAGGATTTTCAGAAGATATCTACAAGAGTGAAAACCATGAAATTCTCAGTAAACTGAAAACAGTGAGTCAGGATGCTATGGTTGACTTTTTCAAAGAAATTGAGGACTATGTCCCTTACGGCTTTACTGTTTACACGCTAGATGACAAGGGACTGCTCTGTCTTCAAAAGTGCAGTCCATATAATGACCGGGACATCCCAGAGCTTTCATTTCTTGTCTTGGAGGAAGGATTGTGTTGTCCTCTCTATGAGTCAGAAGAAGTTCTCATCAAGCCCATTGCAGAATTGATCTCTGAGAGGATTCAGTACACCCCATGTGAAAACAATAAAGACAAAATCAGCATTCCTGGATTCTTGAAGACTCTGGTGGAGAAGAAAGTCTCAGTGTGGGTTCAGAATGCCTTTCTGGCAATGTTACTGAAAGAAGGACGAGAATATGTCGTAGAAAATGACAACGTCTGTCCAGTGGACTTCAGATCCACTGGTATTGTTGAACTGAATAAGAAATGGGGGGATGGTCTGCAGCAGTTTGTGGAGATTAAACACCAAGTCAAACTGAGCACAATTTCAACAGTGACAAACTACATTTCCAACATCTCCTTTTTTGAGAAATACCAGGGGAAAATATACGGAACAACAGGAACACTGGGGAGCAAAGCAGACATTCAGTTTTTGCAGGACCTGTATCCAAATCTCTCTGTGTGCAAAATACCAACATTCAGCAGGAAGAAGTTATTTGAGGTCAAAGGTACTCTGAAAAAAACAGCTGAAGAATGGAAATCTGAAATAAAAGATGTGGTCATGGCTCAGATTTCCCCAAATTCATACAGAGATGGAAGAGCAGCATTGGTGATCTGTGAAACTATAAACAAAGCCAAAGAGATCTACGAAGAGCTGAAGAGCAGCATCCCAAGTAAAAAACTGATTCTCTACTGCCACAGTGACAGAGACAGTTTGAGTAAAATAGACAAGGAGCTTCTTCCTGGTGATGTCATTGTTGCCACAAACCTTGCCGGCCGTGGCACAGACATAAAAGTGTCCCTAAAGGTGAACAATAATGGAGGGTTATTTGTGATCCTCTCCTTCCTTTCTGAGAACACAAGAGTGGAACTCCAGGCTTTTGGACGAACTGCACGCAAAGGTAAACCTGGATCTGCTCAGATAATCATTTCCACTGAACACCTGCAGCCATCTTTCAGCACAGTGTCCTCTCTGGAGGAAGCCAAGAGCACAAGAGACAGACTTGCAGCAGAAAAGATAAGTCACATGATGAACGATGTTGCTGAGATGAAACTGCGGGAGGACCTGTTTTCAGAATACTGTGAAACACTTCAACATATTTATGACACCACTGATGGAGATGAGGAAAGAGCTGTTGTTGCCATCATGAATGAGTTCTGGGCGATTTGGCTGCAAACTAAATCAGAAGAAATTGATCAGTTGAAAAGAAATGAACTGCAAGTGAGTCTGAAAGCTGATTTGTCAAAGGCAAAAAGTCAGTCTGAAAGTAAGACTTCACCATGTTCCAGCATTTATCACTACATCAAGTTTGGAAATATTGCACTGGATGAAAAAAAGTGGGATATTGCAGCCAGACTGTTTGAAAAAGCCATGAAACAGGATGAAAGCTGGGCAGCTGTAGCTTTTTACAATCATGCATACTGTACTATACAACAAAAGAAAGCAGATTACCTCACTAAGGCCATAGATGATCTAATGAAGGCACAGGAATCTTTGAAGATTCTCAGTGAGGAACTAATAGTCTGTCTTCAGTTTGTAAAATTGTCCTCTGCAAACTCAGCCAACAGCAACCCAACCAGCCTTGAAAAACAGTTAACAACCAGGTCCACAATGTATAGTTATTTAGACAAAAACATTACCGAGGCTATCCAAAAGTTAGAAGAAATAAGTGAGAAAGGGAGAGATGGAATGGCCCCAAAATCCCCGATGTTCTCACTATTTTCAGATGCTGATGAAGATCTCCAAGATGAAGCTCACAATCTCTACAGACGAGGTCTGAAATATGTATTTTCTGTGGAAGAAAAACCTCGTTTCTCATGGGAAGGTCTGCTGGTATTCTCTCTTGGAGTTTTACAGATTGTTGGAGGAGCACTGCTCACTGCAATTACATTTGGCACCTTTGCTCAAGTTGGAATGGGACTCATTATTGAGGGAATATCAGACTGCATCACTGGTATTGAGGCCATGGTGACAGGACAATTCAGCTGGAAGTCATGGGCTATAGACAAAGCCATTTCTATTGGTGTCTCTCTCATTGGGTTCGGAGTTGGAAAACTGATATCAAAGGGCTTCAAATGTTTTAAAACCTTGGTTAAATTTGGCAAACAGCTTAAGTCAATGCCACAATTTCTCTCTAGACAAGCTAAAGATGGCTTCAGTGCTGTTTTAAAGGCAAATATGAAGAATGCAGTAAAACACACAGCTAAAAAATTTGCAGAAGAATTAGTCACCTATGCACTGGGAAAGGCAGAAGATGAAATAATTAAAAGAATATTAGAAGAAATCAAAAGCAAGGTGAAAGAGAGAACTGATCACGAAGTGAAATTAAAAATAGAAAAAGAGCCTCCATCTACATTAGTAGATCTCATTATTCTTTCACAACTTGAGGACAAAAAACAACTTCATGATCTCCTGAATGACGAGAGAAGAAAGAAAGAGCTGCTGGCCGTTTTCAGAGAGTTAAGCAAAACTGCAATACAGCCATTCTATGCAGACCTCAGCTGGCAGAACAAACTGAATTCATCCCTCTACAAAGTGATTGAAAAAGCTAAATCACACACTGGAAAAAAAGCAAAAGCAATTCTGACAGTTATACAAGGTGTCCACATGGTCACACTGGCAGGAGAAGCCATCAGTGCAGTGCTCAGCCTGTCAGAAAAGTTCTTTTCAAATTTTCATGAACAGCTGAAAATATTTAACGAAAAGCAACAAAAATCAGAGACTGTGAATGTAAGTGATCTTTCTGCAGAAGACATTAAACTGCTGAAAGAATTCAAGCAGGATTTAGCCAGCACCATTAGTACTTTATTGGCTGATGCTTTGGTAGAAGTTTTCCACCAGAAGGTCTCCAGTCACATTGTTTCTATTGTTAAAGACAAGGCAAATGGTGTTATTGGTAAATATGTGAGAAAGGGTTTAGAGAGTGACAGAACAGAGGAAAATCTCAGAGCTGGACAGAACAAAAACTACATTGCATACATGCCAATAAAACTGAATTCTAAACACAACTTTGAAGGACATGCATGTCAGCGCTCACAATCACATGCTGAAAACATCAAGAACTCCACGACTGCAGGCACCATCCTTGATATCAGAGTCCTGTCAGAAGCCACTGGCACTAAAGTTGTCATCCTAACAGAGGACAGCAATGGAAGACTTACGAAAATGCAAGAGCTGAGCCCAGACACTCGACATGCCAATCAAACTGTGACCCTGATCTACAGACCAAAGAGTGACCAATACCCCAATGGCCATTATGATGTGCACATCAATAACCAGACAGTGAGCATAGACAACAAAGGCAAGAGCTGTTTGTTTCATGCTTTGGCACGTGGAATGAAACCACAAGCCAGTGAAGAAGAGATCACTTTGGAAGCAAATCGTCTTCGATCTGTGGAGGCTGATGCTCTCCTCAGACACCCAGGCCAATGGGAGCCTTTCATCAAGCGGAAAGAATTAACTAAAACGATCAGGGGAGGGGACTGGTACATGTTAGAGGGAGCTGGACCCAGAAATGCCATAAAAGAAAGCAAAAAGTTACGCCAGGAAGAAGTTGGAAAAGTAATAAAATACAAACATTGGCAAAAATATGCAAAAAAAAATAAAGGAACTGGAAAGTTCATCAATGCAGATCACCAGCCACCAGTGAGTAGCATATTGAATGCCAGAAAATTGAACCAGAATAGCAGATTAGCAGAAGCCATGCTTGAAGTGGCAACAAACTCATCTCCTCTGGATCGAAATCTCATTTCTAAAGTGGACAGTTCTCATGGCCGTGAACTTCCAACAGTTTATGTGCCTGCAGAAGTACATTATGAATTTCCCAGTACAAAATCACAAGCCTTCAGAGACCTCTTGGCTGCAGCCATAAGTAATGATGATGTTGTGGGTACTTTCAAGCTGACAATCCTTGGTTCAATGCCAAGATTCTGGTTGGATAGTAGCAGGAACTTCAAAAACTTTCAGAAACCAAATATAAGCAAAAGCAGACTTAAAGATTTTGAAAAAAGTTTTCCACACCACAGTGAAAAGATGGTAAAGGAATGGTCTGACCAGCTTAAAAACAAAGGTGTTATGACAGATGACCATCTAACTACTATTAATAATTGGATTGTTAACCAGGGCTACAAAGATCAAAACGATCCACACAGGAAAGACGTTGCCAACCTCCTCTGATGAAAAGGTAACATCAAATTTTACATCATATTATTTGTGATTCATAATGAAAGGGATGGGAGGTACCTGGAGTAGCATGCATTGTGGTAAGCATCTGACCAGGGTGGATTTCTGTTTTCTTTTCAGTTTGCGAGAGAAGAGAATGTGACTCTTACAAGCAAATGAAGTACAGTGAAAACCTGGAGATCTTCCACCTGCCTAATCATCATTATCAGATATCTCTGTGCCTTTGGTTTAATTTTAACTTAATTTTTGTGCTTATCACAGAAAAAAAGAAAGTCCTAACTGCTTGTTTAGCCATTATAGCTTAATGTAGATTGCAAACTTATGA